GCAGATAATATCTCTTTGTGCCCAGAGAGAGCAATATCTGCCGGTACCTAGCATCGAACCCACAGCCTCCTGATTGTGAGGCGAGAGCTCCACCTCTAGGCTGCCACACCATTCCACTGCGATAATGGCCTACGTGGCTAATCAAATAAACTAAACTCATACCTCTTTTGTGTTTGTCCGCCTTAGGGTTTGGAAATCAAGACCGATTGTGCAAAATCTCTTGCCGATTCCCTTGACAGAGCCGAGTCGCCTTCTTTCCCCTACCTGAACACCCTCTTACGCATCCTAGCCACCCGCTGCATGATGCAGGCCGTGTACTTTTGCTCTGGAATGGACAGCGACTTTCACCATTATGGCTTAGCGTCGCCCATATATACGCACTTCACCTCTCCAATCAGAAGGTAAGGGTTAGGGTTAGGGGAGTAATAGTACCCTAGTAATCTTTTTAGTGAGTTCTTTTCCGTACTTCTTAGCCACGCGTCTCTCTCGGTTACTTTATCAAAGGCCACGAAACAACATCCGTGGTGGCGCAGTGGTTAGAGTGCAGTACTGCAGTCTACTTCTGTTTGACTGCCAGCTGCCGGCAATTCGGCAGTTCGATTCTCACCAGGCTCAAGGTGGACTCAGCCTTTCATCCTTCTGAGGTGGGTAAAATGAGGACCCAAGATTGTTGGGGGCAATAGGCTGACTCTGCAAACTGCTTAGAGAGGGCTGTAAAGAACTGTAAAGTGGAATATAAGTCTAAGTGCTAGTGCTATCCCGATGTGGCTTCAGTTGCCAGTGAATATTTCGTTGCCATTTTGAGGTTACACGAAAATGGGAAAGGGAAGTATGAACCCCAAATAAGTCCAACTCCTGTCCCCCCTATTGCATTGCTCTGGATCTCCCAGTTTAGTGTTTTGTCTTAGTTTCTATTCATGGAAGCTTAAGAGCTTCTCCTACAAAGGCCGTGGAAAATCTTTACTCTTTTTTATTTGGAAGTGATGTGCCTTTTTTTAAAAAAAAGTGGGTTATTGTCATGGAAAAAAATGTTCATTTATCTCACTGCAGATACGCGGATATTATAGTACATCGACTCCTGGCCGTGGCTATTGGGGTGGACACTACTTACCCTGACCTCACCGACAAACATAAATTGTCAGAGTTGTGCAAAAACCTCAATTTTCGGCACAAAATGGCTCAGTATGCTCAGAGGGCTTCCATTGCTTTCCACACCCAGGTGAGTTCGGCTCTTCCCAGCTCCCAGAAGGTTTGGGAAAAATGGAATGTTAGAATCAGAATCCCGAGGGAGGCTCATCCATTGTGGCCTTGCACAGTGCCCTTGTTCACAGTATCACGACAAAACTGTTGTCAGTCACCAGAAGGGCAAGTAGTTTGGAGATGATCTTTGCAAATTCAACCTTTTCAAGGGTTTGGAGTAGAGCTGGATGCATTTTATATAGGGGTGATTTTATACAAAGGCAGGGTTTTTATTTATTTATTTATTGACATTGTCCCCAAGGCTTTGAGCAGTTAACAGCTTCCACTTCCTTTTTCCCTCCAGTTGTTTTTCAAAAACAAGGGTGAGGTCAGTGAAGAGGCCTACATCCTGTTTGTCAGGAAGAACGCCATTGTGGTTCTAATTCCCAAATACGGTTTAGAAGGCACCGTTTTCTTTGAAGAAAAGGCCAAGCCAAATGAAAGACTTGTCTTCAACGATGAGGTACAGCTTGCTTTCTTTTGCAAAGGAAAAAAAAAACAACTACTTTTTTCTTAAAACGCATAATTATAGCCCGGCAAAGGGCTCTACAATGACTCAGTGCAGGTAAATCCTTAACTTATAACCTTTTGTTTGGTGACTGAAGTTACAACGGCATTGAAAAAAGCGACAAGATCACTGCAGCTGTTGTGGCCCTTCGGCTGCCGGCCCCTAAATCAGCTGAATCAGAGGAGGAAGCCTGAGGGTCAAGATCGGCATCAGGGCAACCTGGGAACTTTGAGGGGAAAGAAGGAATGGAGCTGGCAGAGAGAGAGAGAGAGAGAGACATAGGCAGAGCCTGGGCTGTCTGTCAGCCCTCAGATGGAGAGTCAACAGCCCCCAGGTCTGGAGGTGGCTGATGAAGAAAAGGAGGAACAGCTGGGTCCAGTGCCTGATGCACGGATTTGCAGAGGAGAGGAGAGCAGTGGAAATCCGTGGGCCGGTCCTTGGGACGGAAGAGCTACTGCTTCTAGCGAACCCCACCCTAGTTCTGGGAATAAAAGGCAGCGGGGGTGGAGATGAATAGGTGTGGCAGATAATTATTCATCTCTCAGCTGGGAGATGAGAAACTTTGTCAGGACTGTTGGTGTTCCTAATGAAGGAATCATTGATTTAACTTCAGAGGGTTTGTCGTGTTTGGGGAGTTGGGTCAGAACAGCAGCATCATCCCTAGGATCACGTGACCAAAACTTGGACACTTGGCAACTGGCTCATCTTGAGTTGCAGTGACCCAAGTGGGTCCTGTGATTTTAAGCAAAATCAGTGGGGAAGCCTGATTCACTTTACAACCATGTCACTAACTTAACAACCATAGCGTTATTCATTTTACAACGGTGGCAAGAAGGGTCGTAAAATGGGTCAGAACTCACCCCAACAACTGCCTGGCTTAGAGCCACAGAATTTTGGGCTCAGTTGTACGAAATATGCTCTTTTCCACAGATTCCTTCCCTCACCGTAGAAGGCACAACTTTTTGCACCTTTGACAAGGTTAAAGTCAGCATCGTGCTAGATTCTTCCAACATTCAGCATCAGAAAATCCGCATGACGCTGGTGGAGCCCAAGGTAGGTTCCCAGTAACGTGGATGGTTGCCGTGGAGGGACACTTGAAGCAGCCCTTGGTCTCTTTATGGACCTTGGAGCAAACTCCTGCCAGACGGGGAAGACCCCAAAATCTCCTGTAAAGGAACACTGGAGAAATTTAGGGATGAGGCCGTGACTTTGAATGGAGGTTTTAGAAGTTGCTTTTGCTGACAGAGGCTTCTCCAAAGGCCTCGTCTATTTTAAAACTTTGTTCGGTAATAGCAATAGCGCTAGAGCTTATATACCGCTTCACAGCGCTTTACGGCTCTCTCTAAGCAGTTTGCCAATCAGCATATTTTCTCCAACAATCTGGCTCCTCATTTTACCGACCTCCGAAGGATGGAAGGCTGAGTCAACCTTGAGCTGGTCAAGGCCAAGCTCCTTGCAGTGAGCAGTGAGTTAGCCTGTAGTACTGCATTCTATAGGGACTCAGTGGCTAAAACGCTGAGCTTGTCGATCAGAAAGGCCGGCAGTTCCAATCCCTAGCACCGCGTAACTGAGTGAGCTCCCGTTTCTTGTCCCAGCTTCTGCCAACCTAGCAGTTCGAAAGCATGTAAAAAATGCAAGTAGAAAAATAGGGACCACCTTTGATGGGAAGGTAACAGCGTTCCATGTGCCTTCGGCATTTAATCATGCCGGCCACATGACCACGGAGACGTCTTCGATAGCGCTGGCTCTTCCAGCTTTGTAATTGAGATGAGCACCGCCCCCTAGAGTCAGAAACAACTAGCATGTACGTGGAAGGGGAACCTTTACTGCATTCTAACCACTGCATCACCACGGCTGTTTTAATTATTAAGAAAGATTTACCGATAGACCCCTCATATCCTAGATATAAACTGTTTCACCTTCTACCCTCAAGACAATCCTATAGGACATTGCATGACAAAACAACTAGACACAACTCCCCCCTCCCCATGCCATCTCTCTGCTAAACAACTAATTCCCACAATACTGTAGGTTGTATTACTACTGTCTTTCTCATCTTTCCTATTACCTGTTTCCTTTTCTTCTTATGACTATAAATTTGTTGGTTGTATCTGACAATTTCTATTGTTTTATTTAGTATCCTAGTATGATCTAGGCTGATTGCTTATTTAGTATCCTCTGACTATCACTAAGTGTTGTATCTTGTGATTTATGATCAATGTAGTTTACACTTCGTTGCTTGTATGCACACTGAGAGTTTATGCACTGGAGACAAATTCCTTGTATGTCCAATCACACTTGGCCAATAAAGAACTCTATTCTATTAAAAGATCAAATAACTCTATTGTTTCCTTAACCACCTCTGACATGATTTTCTTATTTTTCAGATATTAGGCTATTCCAGCGATGCTACACAGTCAAGTGCTAACGAAGAACCAGAAATGAAAAAGAAGAAACTGAAAAAGTAACTTCGTTTTAGAAATGAATGGATGTTATTTGGTTGGGAGATGAATTATATTTGATTGGGGGGGAAGGATGATCTTTTTTATACTTGTAGAAAAGACTTTTAAAGAAATGGATTAACATTTGCCCATTTTTAAAACCACCCCTGATAAATACAATTGCGTGCTGCTGTTCATGTATCTTATTAAAGAATCCAACCAAAACTAAATTTCTGGGTTTTTCTCCAGAAACAGGAAAGTACAGAATATTTTAAAATTTCTGTGTCAAAGGAAAGTAAATACAGAGGTTTTGTGAATTTAGAACTGCATTCCAGCTTTTTCATTTGGATGGACCTTTTTAATTCATCATTGAAACTTTGTTTCTCAAATCTTTTAAACTATTTTTCGGTTCCTTGGCCTATCTTTTTTTTTTTAAAAAAAGGAAAACCTGGTATAAGAAAATGATAAATAGGATTGATAATGATCACATATCAGAAGCAGAAAGCAGCCAGGAAAAGCCATGGTAACTTTCACATTTTCCAGGCTCCAGATGAGGTTTTTTTCCACCACCACCACCATATGGAGATACTTGATGATGATTGAAATATTTGTGATATGATGCTACTGCCAGATACAGCTATTTTAAGAAGAGCACCTGCTTCCATTTTTCTACAAGAAAACAAGCTGAGCAGATGAATTGGAAGGAATATAATCCCCAGAGGGTCGACAGTTAAACTTGTAAGCTTCAGATTCACAATTTGTGCTTCGAGTTTTCCAATCTGCACCCCTCTTGTTAAACAGATAAAATTACCAATCCCTAGTTACTTAACTTATTTAATGAGCACTGTAAAAAAAATCCAGTTCCCAGCTAATTAGGGAGGGACGGATTAAACACCAAGGAAGAAAAGTTAAAGTGAAGTTAAATGGAGAAGTGCCTTCTCTATTGCCGAGATCCCCAGCAACCTTGCCATTGCAGCAAGGCTGAAATATAGCAAAAGATAACCTGTCTATGGAAATTCTCAGTCATCCAGGTCATGATTGTCCAAGAGGTGCTTTTTCCAAGAGGCACGTGGAGTTTCTGGTTTTGCTCTGAAGACATTTCGCTCTTCAATTGAAGAAGCTTCTTGGATGAGAAGCGAAACGCCTTCAGAGAAAAAACAGAGTGTCCAGTTGCCTCTTGAAAAAAAAGGCACCTTCGGGACAGGAAAAGATAACGTTATGGCAATTTATTAAATACAGAGATTGAGATTTAGGATTTTGTACATGCGTTCAGTAGTTCCTGTAAAGGTTAAAACAAAACGAAGTCAAGCCATTCTTTGGCTTCTATCTTGGCACTAGCCAATCTAAGGTGGCCGCTTTAATAGAAAAGGGGGGAAGGATGTTTCCTTATTGTACAGAACCACAGTGCTTGTTAAAAAACAACAACCAAGAACAAAAGCAATCTAAGCTACTAATGTGGACTTTTCCGCGAGTATAACAAATTGGGCAGAGAGACCACCGTTACCTTAAACGTATCAAGTTTTTTTTTTTTTTTTAATGATGAAACACAATTCCAGTCCAGTATTGAGGGAAAAAAAAAAATGATTGGGCAGAACGTTTGTTTTTCTTTTTGTGCAAAAGGTTGGTTTATTCTAACAAAGAATGTTTTCTGGCCTCCTGTTGAAACGGACGTCGTTCTATTTTGCATTCATTGGTAATAAAAACTTCGAAAAACGGGAAAAAGCACAACCATTTTATTTAAAAATTCATTCCGTCTCCGATACGATTAGCGTAATCAAGACGCGAAAGAGATTCCTTTTAAACAAATGCTATTGATTTGCACAGAAAACAAGGTAACCCCTTGTTGCTCTGCCACACCATTTGGCATGTTGTTGACGTCTAATCCCAAACTTCCCCTTAAATTTAAGACCGGGGCATCCGTATTGGTATGTTGGCAATACTCCTGCAAGGGAAGCCCCTGCCTGGTGAAATAAGCCTATGATTGCCACATTAAGAAACATCTGGCTGTACCTGGGTAGACCAAGGATCAATGCATGTCGAAGAGACGTGGCAGCGTTCTACCCCCAACTGAGTCCTTGTGAGAATCCAAGTGTACAAATGTAGCCCACAACATCCCAGTGCCACCTTGGTGGTTATGGCCAGGCAGATCATCTTTGGGTTCAATTTCCCGTCAGCTGCAGGAAGCCAGTTGTACCAGTCCAGTGTCAAGTTATCTGTCAGAATAGGCATTCAGCTTTGGTGGATGGTCTCTCTTTCTCAATCCCAGTTAGCAGCAGATCTATGCCAGCTCAGGTCATTTTGGCAAAGGCACTTCCAAGAAGAGGCTGCTGGATTGACAAGCGTTTTCAGCCCAGTATCCAGATTTTGATTTTCCCTGCTTGGGGGATGGGGGGAGAGGGAGGAAAAAGACCCCAAAGATTGGCCATTAGCTATCTCAACCTTTGCACAGGCTTCCCATGACTATTCCTCAATTTCTTCCCCAAGCCAGGGCTTAGAAGGCTGAAGGTGCTGTCTTCTTTTGAAGACGAGCCTGGAACCACCTACCTTCATTCTGAAAACATGGATTTTCCTCTGAGCCTCCAATGTGCCATGCTCTCTGTAGCTGAGCTCGCCTCCAGCTGTATCCATGAGACTGCTGGTGTAAGCCTGGGTATTGTAACCACTGTCCATCTATCAAAAAGAAACCAGGGCATAGAAATAATTATCCCAACACTAACAGGGGCAGTAGAACATCATCTTCCAGGCTCTTCCAGCTCCACAATTCTACAGTTCTTGGTAGGGGATGAGGGGATGGATCACCAACTGAGAAACCCAATTCCAGGAAAAACCAACCCCTCCTTTTTTAAAGCCCCTGAGGTGCCTAGGTCTAGTAGATAGTCCTTGACTTATAACAATTGAGCCCAAAATTTATATTGCTAAGTGAAGGTTAAGCGAGCTTCCTTTTACGACCTTGTCGTTATTAATCGCAGCGCTTGTTAAGCTAGTAACATGGTTGTTAAGTGAATCTGGCTCCCCCACCTCCCCCCGTTGACTTGGCTTGTCAGAAGTTTGCAAAAGGGGATCACATGACTCCGGGACACTGAAACCGTCATCAATGCATGCCAGTTGCCAAGCTTCCGGATTTTGATCACGTAATCGTGGGGCTGCTACAACAGTCATGTGAAAACTGCTCATAAATCACTTCTTTTGGTGGTGTAACTTTGAAAGGTCACTAAATGAACTGATGTAAGTCGAGGACTACCCGTATGTGCAAGAATGTCTCCAGCACCTCCCGGTATAACTCGACATAGGTTGTGCACCTGGCAAGGAGAGGCAGCTGGAAATTGGGCAATTTCTGGGAAGACGGATCTTCCCCCTCCACCATGGCACCCACAACGCTTTTCAGCAATGTCAGGACTGTAAAAAGGTGGGATTTTATCGCTCTTGTGGAAGTTCCTTCCAGGGGAAGAGATGGTCGGCATCCAAACTTGAGAAATAAAATAAAGATGCCCTAACCACAGGAGGCTTGCTAGGTTTATTTTCGGGTGGGATGCTACCGGTTCCGCCCGGTTCTATCGAACCGGTTGTTCAGAAGAGCAGCTGACACTGAACCGATTCGCCTACCCACCCAGGCTCTTGGCTGTCCCCAGCCACACTCTGCCAGCCAAAAAACTGTGTTGCAGTAGGCCATGGAGGCCAAAAACAGTCAGCAAGGAGGGGCCTCGCGCAGCCCCCCTGCGTTCCATCTTGGCCCGCAGGCTGGTGCAGGCGGCGTCCGTCCGCTCCCCACGGAGGACTTTTAACGCTGATCCAGCCCTCAAACAAATCCAGTTTGACACCCCTTGGCCTAGAACTTAGCCTGGCCAAAACCCAGCCTGCTCTCATCCTTTTCTATTCCCCCACCTCCTCTGCTCAACTCCTTGGTTCAGCCTGAAACGGGAGGGGACGGGTGGGATGTTTGGGGCCAGAGCTCCTTGAGCCCTGGGCTGACTCTCACCTGCAGACTGCTGCTCTCACAGGGGGAAACACTGCTTTCTGCCAAAGGAGCCATGCAGATGCAAGACCCCTCTAAGCTCAGTCCAGTCACGGCCCCTCTGTCGCATTCAGACAACCCCTTCACCGAGTTCTCATCCAGCATCTCCGGATCAGCAATTTCCACTGTCCGTTTCTCCCCGGGAGACTCCAAGCCGGGCCTGAGCGCCACTCCTTCGGGGGTCTCTGGTGAGACAGACTCAGCAGCTATTTCCAAGGGAGACCCCGCCGATGGGACGTCTATCGGGGTCAGGCCCGCCCTGGGACTCCCGGCCGATATGGCCTCGGCTGCTTCCGCCAGCTCTTCCTGGCAGTTCTCCGGGGTGCAAGGGAGGCGAAGGAAGGAGCTCTGATACAGCGTGGCGCCCCGGCAGGAGAGGAGCCTCATGGGCGAGTGACTCCTTAACGGAGAGTATTCCACGTAGGGACTCCTGCTGCTGGCGGGAGCTTGACGGCAGACGTTGGGAACGGAAGGCAGATCCGGCGAGCGAAACGTGAACTGCCTTTGATCTGCGTTGTTGGTGGAGAAAAGGAGGAAAAGGTCAGCGGGAGAATATGCCAAGCGTGCAGAACCAACTGTCCTCTTGATAAGGTTGCTGGACCCTTCTACTAACGGAGGGGGACAGGACGGGACAGACTGCTCCTTTAAGGATGCCTGAGTGAGGATGGTCTCAACCGTGCTTTTTCAAAAGGCAACTGGGTTAACGTCTTTGAGGAAAAAGACATTTCACTACTCATCCGAACAGCTTCATCAGTTCTAACGGGGAGGGAGGGGGAGATTGTCTTTGGGACAACCATGACCTGGATCACGGGCCTTCAAACTTGACAGGTTTAAGACTTGTGGACTTCAACTCCCAGAATTCCTCCTCCGGTTCATGTTAACTCAGTAATTCTAGGAGTTGAAGTCCACAAGTCTTAAACCTGTCAAGTTTGAAGACCCTTGACCTGGATGATTGAGAATCTCCATCGAAATTCTTCTAATGCTACATCAAATGCTCTATATCATCCAGTTCTGACTAGAAGTTTGGGCAGCGGGGAGATGGAAGGATTGTTTCTGACAGAATTAAACCCTTCCATTCCCCCGCCCTTCACCGCCCAGTCAGAACTGACGAACCTTCTTGGATGAGAAGAGAAACATCTTCCGTGGCATCTACCGGAGCCTCAGTGGCGCAGTGGTTAGAGTGCAGTACTGCAAGCTGCTCCTACCACAATTTGGCAGATCAAATCCCACCAGGCTCAAGGTTGACTCAGGTTTCCTGTTAGAACTGATGAAGCTTCCTTGGATGAGAAGTGCAACCGGAAAGTCCAGTCGCCTGTTGAAAAAGCACATCGGAGGCAACCATGACCTGGATGACTGAGAATCTCCACAGACATTAAATCGAAAGGTTGCCCTTGAAGGCACCCCACCCTCTGGATCAAACAGCCATATGCTAATAGGAAGCAGGGCTGGGAACACTTTGGACAGCAGGGGGCACTGTGGACTCCCTAAAGATTTAAGAAGAGCTTCCAAACCGGTCCCATCTGGACCCCTGGATGAAGATCCTCCTTCAGGTCCCAGCAAGAGGCCTCTACGTACCTGCCAGTGGAGTCTTCCTTAGCTGGATGCCAACGGGAGAGAAACTGGGCGACGCCAGATTTGCCGGACTCCTGTGTGTCAAGGAAGGACTGGGAAGGCTGCCCAAACTGTATGCCCTGGCATTCCCCTGGATGGGGCTGGACGAGAGGTGGCCCTTTCAAGCGCAAGACAAGAGATTCCCATTAAGAGCGAGCCACAGAAGGCATCGGTCGCGGTTGCGTCTCTCCTAACTCAAGCTTCATGAGCTGACAGCCTGACAGTTGCAAATGGGGAGAGGGAAGGATCGGAACGCAAGGAAAAAAAGTGGAGTGGGGGGAGGGATGGAAGCGCAGCTGGCCCTCATGAGAAGCTTCAGCTAGCCAAGGTCAACTAGCGATAGGCAGAGCTGGGATATAAGCACCTAATTTACAGATAACGGGATACAGATAACAGCAATAGCACTTAGACCAGGGCTATCAAAGTCAGTGGGCTTAAATCTGATCCGCGAAGCCGGCCTGGAAATATCAAAGGACTGGCCCTCGTTGCCTCTGCCGGCTAAACCGGGCCGCACGCAGCTCCCCCACAGCCCGTTTTTGGCCTTCCGCAGCACTTTGCTAGCCAAAAATGGGGTGCATGGGGACCTCCGGAAGCTGTTAGGAATGTAAGTCACCTAACATTTGGGTTGGAAAATATATAAACCAGGACATTTTAATACTGCCTCTTTAAGGGAATGCTAAAACTGTAATTGGGTGTGGTTCCTCAAACAGCCATAAGATGGAGCCAGAAACCTCGGTTGTTCTGTTCTGGTGTTGCTGAGAGTGTTGCCGTTCCTACATTTTTCCCTATTGACTGATCAGTTCTTCTTGGATTTGATGTAAGTCTGTTACTGAACTGTTTTTTGATACCGGACTTCGTTATTGGATTATCCCTGGACTAAAAACTGACTGCTTTAACCGTGAATGACTTGGACTGTTTTGTTGAACTTTGCTTAACCGTTTTACTGGAAGTAAAAACCTATTTTACTATACAGCATGGCTGTGTGGTGTGTGTGTGTGTTATTATTCACTACTCTCACTACGTCTCCCTGTGTACGCAGCAAATAATATTCCTAACGGGGAATTACCTCAATAAAAGCCCCCCCCCCCCCCATTTTGGCCAGTAAAGTGCTGCAGGAGGCGGCTGTCCCACTTCCTTCCTCTGTTCTCCCCACCCGCCCCCCACTGGCTCACGGAGCTACAAAGCTACACAATGCTGATCCGGCCCTCAAAGAAATCCACTTCGGCACCCAACTTATATACTGCTTTATAGTGCTTTACAGCCCTCTCTTAAGCAGTGTACGGAGTCAGCCTCTTGTCCCCAATAATCTGGGTCCTCATTTTACCCACCTCGGAAGGATGGAAGGCTGAGTCAACCTTGAGCCTGGTGGGATTCCACCTGCCAAATTGCAGGCAGCCGGCAGTCAGAAGTGGCCTGCAGTACCGCACTCTAACCACTGCGCTACCGCGGCTCATAAAAATTTAACTTTGTACTGTTTGGATGGGAAAACCTCCAATTTGTCTTAAGCAACTCCTGAATCCATTTAAGCTTCAGTAAAGTATATAAACGGCCGGGAGTCTTTCTTTGCTAGATGGCTGAGTAGGATTACTGACAGCATCTAAATCAACACCAGGGAAACCAGCACCCTCCCATCTTTCGGCACTCATCCCTCTGACATCCCACCCCACAAAGCCAAGACAATCTGCAGAAAGCAGTGAGGGTACAGTTTCCCATGAGGGATATCTTTGGCTCTTCGGTCCATAACCTGCTGACCTCATCTTGTCCTGCCACAATCAACATTTCCAGGATGAGCTACTCACTGAGCTGGAAGAACTCAGAGGGCTCCTGCAGCGGACTGGAGAGAGGTCGATGGAACAGAGGACGCCCAGGGAAGCTGGACCATTACGCAGGCTGGGAGAAGGGGGGAAGTTCTCGGAGGAGAGGCTGCCGTTTTCATCCAGAAAGAGCTTCCTCCTCAAGGAGGAAGAGCTCAGGCTTTCCTGCGACTGGTCAGCTGATTCATCGGCTTTGAAATAGTCACCTGAGGAAGAGGACGTGAGATGGCACACATAGCCGTCACGATTGGGGACTCAAGTTTCCTTCCTTCAAGCCCGAATTTGGTTAGATGGTGAAATTATATAAATTCAGTTTGACACACTTGAGCAAGGCTCTTCAACCTTGGCAAGTTTAAGACTTGTGGACTTCAACCCCCCAGAATTCCTGAGCTGACATGACTAGAGGAGGAATTCTGGGAGTTGAAGTCCACAAGTCTTAAAGCTGTCAAGTTTGAAGACCACCCTGCACTTGAGAGTGGGAAGGGGGAAGAGCTGAGGTGGATGGAGTTCCAGCCAAAACAACATAGCTGCACTCCAATGGCTGACCGGCCAAAGGAAGGACGAGCGAAGTTGCCCGGAAACCATCTCACATCCTGGTTGGACAATGTGACAAATTGTTTTGGAAAATTTGAGAAAATTCTCGTTATAGTGACATGGAAAGCCAGGAAACTTTCAGTACTGGCTTTCCACAAGTTAGTGCCAAGATGGTGTATCTAAATGAACTTATTCTTTGAGGAATTGTTCCTTTTATAATGGATGCATTGCTTGGAACCTGACACCAGGATGGATAAAAATCTATTTTAAAAATAAAAATAATGGATTTTTAGGTTTTTTTTAATTACATTTAATAAAATGCTTTTGGAGTAAAAGATATTTTTTCTATTTAATATACATTAATATTTTAGTTTACTCAGCTTGTAATGGAGCTTAAGTTAAGTAGCTTGAGGCTGTATATTCTGCAATGTTTACATTTTTGGCAAACTCATTCGATGAGTCCGAGCTCTGCAAGCTGAGATAACAATGCACTGCGTTGATGCATTCACGCACAATTTCCCAGTAACCGTGAGGTAAATCAAAAAGCAAAGTTCAGGAATATTCCTTTATTCCATTGTTTTGCAAATCTATGTTCACTGTATGATTGTTTGAGGAGAAATAAAATTGTACCAAGGCTCTGAGGGTGAGGAGGAAGAGCAAGCAGTAAAAATGAAAGTGAAACTTTCTAAGCAGCTTATAAATATATTAAAGAGCACCTGTCATTTCAGATCTATCATGGCAGCGCCTGTTAGCAGGCATCCACTCACCTTCTGCTCACCATGGTCCTCACCTTATGTCACTGCCAAATCACCAGCCATCCCATTAAAGTGAATGGGACTGTCGGCGAGTCAACAGTGGGTGACAGGAGGAAGAGCCACTGCGGGGCAGAAATGACAGTTGCTCTTTAAAAATTAGGATTTAGATCAAGTTGATTTATATCAAGCCTTTCTACTGGTGATTTAAATCGACTTGATATAAATCAAATCTACCCTGAGGTAAACCCTATCTGACTATTTATGCTTTGCACAAGGTCAAAGGAGGAGAGAGCACAAATCACAAGGGACTCTTTTGGATTCGCGCCCTTTTGGGGGAATTTTGAAACTTGTGGGCCCGGATGGACATGTTTCTCTGTCTTCCACCCTCACTCAGAAAAACTGCAGAGAGGAGGAACGAGGAGCAGCCACAAATCACACCAAGTTCTTTTGTGTTTTGCAACAGTGGTGAACATCTGGGGCTCGGGTGTAGGATGAGGATAAACAGAACAATGTAGACACTGATATCCCTTAAAGTCTGCTGAAGATGATACCTAGCCTGATAACAAAACGTTCATAAACCAACCCACAAGCTCAAACCCTCACCCTCAGTTGTTTTGTGTCTTTACCAAAAAATCTAAAAATCCAAGCAACGGGTTGCTGGGTGGGCGTGGCCAATTGGAACTTATGGGAGGGCCGTTTTTCACCCTCCCAAGGGTTCAGAGGCTTTCCCCAGGCCTCTGGGAGGGCAAAAATGGCCCCTCCCGGGTTCTGGAGGCCCACCGGAAGCTAGAAACAGGCCTGTCCAAACCGGTAGAATCCCACCTCTGGTCTTTACACAACCTCTCAAGACTCGTCTTAAATTGTGATCCTTTCCTTTGATCCTACGCCTTTGGGGGTAATTCTTTCAACTTCTCCCGTCCGGTTTAGACAGTTATAAGAGACCCTACAGAGCAGCAGACTTATTTTACCAGTTACTTACCCAGTATCTTTTCCAAATCAAAATCCACAGGCAGAGATAACACAGTCTGACAGGCAACTGGAAAAACAAGAGTAGAGCAAAGCTGCATCATCAAGCGTTTAAAAAACCCCTCTGGTTAAAGTATTTTCACAATAAAACAGCAACATTTCCAAGGCTGCATTTGGAACAAGCTGGGATGCATTTGTCAGACCCAGAGCAGGGCTAGCCTGATAAAGACCTGAATGGGAACTCAAAGGCTGTAACACTAGACAGAAAACGGCCTCCCACAAAACCCCACCCAGGCTGGACTGCAAAGGTTTTTGCCCCTAGTCACGATGCCAGGAGGATGAAGCAACACAAGCTTCCTTCTTCTCTACTGGTAGTCCTTGAGTTATGGCCATATTGGAGCCTGCCCATCGTGGTCATAACATGTCATGACGGTTGTAAAACCATTTTGTTTTGCTGAAACTGAAAGGAACCAAGCAAAACGGTCGTAAAACGTGGTCAGATGACCACGGGAGACTGCAAGTGGCCACGTCTCCTAGTTGCCGAGTACCAGAAGGGTGGGCACGTTGACTGCAGGGGGAAGGGGGCAACCGTCAGAACTTCACATCTGGGTTATAAGTAGGTAACTCAGGAGGTCCATTAGGAATTTCAATAGTCGCTAAGCGATCAGTCATAAGTCAAGGACCATCAGTACACGCATCTCCCTACAGAAATGCATGAAGAACTCTTTGTATACCAAGTTTACTCTCTCCCTGAAAGTTCTCATACAAACCATTATTTTTCCCAGGCTGCATGACGATTTCTCTGCCGACGGGCGAAACATCGTTGAGTTCCACACCTGCAATTTATGGAGTTCTTAGTGAACAGCTGGAATATCGACAAGGAAAGCATAAAAGGGCATTGCCTCTCTTTGGCCATAACGGGAAAACGCTCCCTTCCCCTTCACATTTTGGCAGTCAGGTTTGAGCGAACGGTTCGACTCGTAGAATCGATCCATCCATCCACCAAACACGGAGGAAAGTACACAAAAACAATAGCTCAAACTAAGTAATTTTAATTATTGCAATTAAGCCAACAGCAACAATCCCCACTGGAGTTTAAGATTATAAACAGAGAGAAAAAAATTATTTTTTTCTTGGAATATGCAAAGTTTTTTTCCCCCCTTTAGCTTAGCAAGGATGGACTCAGAAGCACATAGAACAGCCTGTGTACAACCAGATTTCATTTTAACGTATGCCAATTAGCGTAGATTCAAAGTGACAATAAAGTTATTTTAAGCCTCCTTTCCTACTTGTTAAGCCTTGTCTGCTGGAGATCCTAGAAACCAACCATTTGCATCCCAGGCCTGAACAATACAGCTTGCAAGTGAACCTTCCTGCCTCCAGAACAGAAGCTGCTACTTACATCTGGTTGAATTCAGCTGAGAATCCTGTTTCCCGATGGGATTGGTCCAGGGCGATGGGACAATGGTGCTTTTGGTGAAAAACTAGGAAAGGAGGATAGGATGCGTATTAATGACATGCACCCCCTTTTGCAGGGGACAATCCCAGATTGTAGAGTTTCAAGAAGAAAATGGCAAAGTATTTTCCTGCATTAAACTGATGCTGGTTCCAACACTGAGTAGATTTGAAACTGCTTCTTTTGAAACGGACTGAGCACCAGACAAGGTTTTCATTTCCTGAGCACCCTCATGTCCACTTATTGTTCAGGGGACCTTTGAAGGTCACAGCAGGCAAGGAAAGCTTCGTGGGCAGTATCCTACTGAATGGCTGGATTTCACACACCCCAGCTGGCTTGAACCAAGGATGACAATGGTGGTTACCTCTTCAATGGCCCTTTGCTTCCGTTCTTCGACATCCCTGTCAATCCTGTAGGTAGGTAGGTAGGTAGGTAGGTAGGTAGGAAGGAAGGAAGGAAGGGTAAGTGAAGGGCTGTAAGAACCCCCTCCAACACCAGCAGCCACCCCACAGGAAGGAAGGTTGAGTGAGGGCATCCAGGGAGAACTCCCACAATGCCTGCAGCCACCCCAACTGCTCCACCTGGTCTGGCTGAGGTAGAAGGCCTGGCGATGGATGTCCTCTGAGTTGATCTCCACTGGGTCGATCAGGGCCAGCTCGTCAATAGACCACATGAATCGCCCGGGGCTCTGCAGAAACAGGTTCAGGGTTTTTTTGGAGAACCAAGCAACCCCTCTCCTCTGACACCCTCCGCCTCAAATTTCCTTTTGGCCCGCCAAGCCTCCAGCACCCATCTCCCTTCTCCCAGATCCCCTCGACAATGGATCTTCTTTGCCCTCAAGCCAGCCCTTTCCTTCTCTTAGATCCCCTCTGCCCCCCGACCCTATCTTCCCCCCCGCCCCCCCCCTCCTCTCTTTTATCCCCCCCCCCCCCCCCCTTTCCCCCCCCCCCCGGCCTTCAGCACCCCTAACCTTCTCTTAATTCCTCTCTGCCCTGAGACACACTTTGTCCCCCAGGCCTCCTTTCTCCTAGGTCCCCTCTGCCCACCAAAGCCTCCTCTGAAATCCTCTGCCCCACATGCTTTGTCTCCCCCACCCACAACACCCCTGTCCCTTCTGCTAGATCTTCTGTTCCAGATCTTTCCCCTCAAGCCT